GGGGGGGTTATGATGACGCGTATGATGAATCTTAAAGAAGATCAGTAACCTCACCGCCCCACACACACACACAAAACCCCAACCAAATACAAGAAAAAGAAATAACAACCAACCAAAAAAACAAAAACAAAACAAAAAACAATATAATGGAATCAACGAAACTACAACTGTAAATATTTTCAATTTAATAATGTGGTCAAAAATTCGTGGTTCAACTTATCCTCAAAATATCTCTTTAACGCGAGTTTCAGTGTCACCCATACTTTGCCTTAAAGTCTGCATCAATTTTCTTAACTTAATCATATTTTCCCACAGCATTTGAGGCCAGATTGAAATTTTTTTATTCACAAATTAATATAAAACACTATAAATCTCTTTCACGCAGAAAATGGGATTGTTCACAGCACTTCCCGTTTCTCACACATTTTGCATGCGCATATATGGCGTACATCACAGCTCACCAATGACACTTTTAATGGCAAAACCTGTTATAAGAAATCAATTTTATTGTGATCACTTTTTTTTGCACTAAAGGTTCTCAAAACATCCGTTCAATAAGCATAACATCGCAATTTTAAATTTAAAAAATGACGTACTTGCTTTAAAAGAAATTGTCCTAGCTGTAGATTTCGAAACCTTTTAAGGTCTGTAAAAACCATCCACTGGGATTTTTAAAATTAGTATTTATTAAGGAATTTTCTAGAATAAAGCAAATAAGTGTTAACAAAAATATTAATCTGTTACGGCAAACTGCTATTAAAAGGTCTTTGTGCAAAAGTTAGAGCGAGCCTTCAAGTTCGACTGTTGAGAAATTATTTGACAATAAGTTGTGCCACGGATTTTTTTATCGACTAAAGGCCTTGAATTATAGATACGCTTCGGGTGTCTTAAAATTGGTTTTTCAGTCATATTCGAGCTTGTAAAACAGAACCACTAAATGAACGAAGTACGATGTACGGATTCCTGTTAAGAAAAGTATTAAAGTTAAATTATAATTGAGAAAAGGATCGTGTTATTGGTAAAGTCTGGAATGTGAAAAACTTCCCTCCTTTCGTGGATATACCAATTTATCAACAGTTATTGTATAGCAACTGAATCTTAACGTAGAGACACATAATAACTATTTTTGTTTCATAGGCAAATATTATTTTTCACATGAAAACAATTTATGATAGGCTATTTCCCTTAATATAACAGGCCCTACCGGCGTATCGTTAGCTGTTCATTGTTTTTGAGCTTGAAAGCGTCATAACAGGGTATATATGGGCTGACCAAGGATGTCATCTTAGAAGATACTGTGCTGTTTTAGTATATTTTACTTTGATGTTTTTCAACGTATCTGTCAATAAAACAATGTCATGCAGATGCTTAGTTGATTTCTTATTGATTTCTTATGTTATCATTTGCGCGTCACTTTTCACCCTGATTAATTAAACGTGCTCGACCTGTTGAGTTTATGTGTACATAAGTCTTTAAATCTGCACTTAGTTTTACGACTGACTCACCTGGGATCAAAAGAATGCACATGACAGCCATATCGGCGAGCCGCTTCGTCATCGAAGCTGAAGTCGTTCTTGATACTGAAATAAAAGGAATAGGTTATTATTGGGTAAGCTCTTCCTGTATGACGTCACTGAAGTGTGTATGCAATCTGAAGAGTTAAAAAATTAGATATGAGAAAAACTGTATTTCGCGTTCGAAATCAAGTTTCAATAAAGAAGAGCAATTTAAGAAGGATTAGGATTGCCAGTAGCAGTATTAATTCAAAAGACCCACAAGTTCTAATCCTGCTTTCAGACTTCAGATCTGAGTAATTTCGTATAGATCTAGCCTAATAAAAACGTTTTTTAAAGCATCTTCAAAGATGCCATGACAAACGAAAACGAATCAAGAACCCACCAAAACACAACCAATTCCATTTACGCCAGTTCCACGAAAAGAAGATATATACAAGTACCATTTCCACCGAAATATCCTCCATATATAGCATTTCCACCAAAACCATTTTCATTGACACAACATTAGTTCTACAAATACCATTTCCTTTGACGCTACTTTCACCATCACCACATACAACACCGACATATTCTTCTTCTTTGACACACCATAATTTCAATTGACACAACCTCCACCAACACGACACCACTTCCTCCGATACAAAACTTCCACCACCGCCAAGATTCCACCCACAGAGCAGCACTTCCACCGACACCTAGACCTACCCAAAGGAGTAGATGAGGCAAGGCGTCCGGGGCCGATATGCCACGTCATCACACACCTCCCAGCCACCATCTTTGAGGTTCCCCACGCGTACCATCCGGGTACAGAGAGTTTGAATGTTTTCTATGTACCTGGGTAAGATTGAAAAGTCTGATTGTTATTTATGAGCCCAGGGAAGACTCAAGAGTGAACGATCTTTTTGTACATGGGAAGACCCAAAAAGAGTCTGAAAGCTCTTTATGTACATGGAAAAGAACTCAGATCACGCTCATGGGTGCTCGCGAGCATATTTTTTTTCAGCAGATTTTATAGTTCTATGAAGGGTTCGTTATTGTAGTTGTTGTTGATGATGTTGTGTGAGTGTGTGTGTGTGTGTGTGTGTG